CCAAAGAAGGGCTGGGCAGGCTCGCCGGCGAGCGGGATCGGGATCGGGCCAGCCAGGACATCTCCGACGAAGAGGACAGTCTGCTGCAGTTCAACAGCTTTAATTTCTGGAGAGCTCCTATCGCCAGCATTAGCTCGTTAGATTTCGATCTAATTTGAAGCTCTCCTTTCTGCCCCTCCGCATCCCCCCTGCCCTCTCCCTCTCTGCTAGGCATATGAGGATTTGATTTTGTTGTCAGTTTGGAGGTCGTTTTTTTGTGTTTTCAGGCAGTTTTTGACATTGTTAAATAGCTCACAGTTCCCCCCAGCCCTGACGGTGATGGGCTCCCCACAAAGCTTCAACCTCTCTCCACCTCCCCCTCTTTTCTCCCCTTCTTGCAGCAGTGCTGGAAACACCACACCAGTGCAAGCAGGGGGTCACAGCACAGGGGGCAACACGTGGGGAGGGGGCAGGGACAGCCACCCCATTGCCCCGCGTCCACAAGACAGCGGGCGCAGGAGGGGCTGGGGGGTTCCTACCACCACCCTGCACCCTGTGGCTGTGTGACCGCGGGCATCCCCGTGCTCCAGGACGAGTGTTGGAGCTCATTTCTCCTGTGCTTTTTTAAGAAACCCATTTGCACAAGTGGAGCAGCGCAGGGCTGGTGGCAGTCGTCTTGGTTTCGCAGAAATCAACGTGCCTGCTCCTCTCCCCGGGACGCAGAGACCCTCTGTGCTCCCCTGGCCCAGGTTCTCCAAAAGCCACTTCACTCCTTAACCTTCCCCTTGCGATAATCGAGGGGGAAGAGGCAGGGATGTGCCCAGGACACGAGCACAAACCTCTTTCAAGGAAGAAAGCACCTCTCTGAGCCTTGTGGCTGGAGCCCAAGCAGGAGGAACGATGGCCAGGACAATACAAAAAACACAAATACAAATGGAAATGCTCCAACCTTGCTTGGCGGGGTCAAGGGCGGATGTCCACTGCCTGAAATTTGATTTCTTTGCGTTTTTTCTCTCCCACGTCCTTTATCCCAGGTGTACAGAGGCCGGGTACATCGCGGGGTCTGGATGGATAACGGGGGCTGAGCTGAAAGATAAGGTGGAGAATTTAGTTTGATCTTACCCCAGAATGAAAAAATTCTCATTCCCCACCAAATTAATCAACTGTTTAAAAACAGCAATGAAAAAATGCTGCATTCACCCAAGTGGAAGCTTTGCATTTTCCCTGGGGAAGCTTTCACCTATGCCATCCACGGGCTGAGGTTTATTTCTGAGCTTCATCTCAAAATGGGAGGGGGAAGACCCTCAACCCTGAATCATTTTTGGCTTTTAAACAAGGGGGGTTTTTTTCCAAGATTGCTTTCTGGGAGAGTGAACGCAACTGGTTTGTTTTCTTGAATGTGCTTTTTCTGGGATATGACTGGGGTAAAGTGTGGAGCATCCCAAAATGGTCCTCAGAGTTGGGGGGGTACACGGCCAGGGGAAGGCTGAAAAAGGCACCCAAAAATAGGCAAATATTGGAAAAATCTGCACTCTGTTATGAAGATGGAGGGCAGCTCTCCCAAAACCTCCAGAAACGACCCAGCCTGCTGACCTGGAACCACTCATGTAAAACCAGAGGTGAAAAATGTAAACTCTCCTGTGCAGAGCTGTTCAATTTCTGTGTTCCAGATGCGGAAACCCACAGAAGTATTTATTATGAAACTTTAAATAAAGCAATTCAAAAACATATGCATTCCTGTGGACACTTATAAAAAAAAAATCCATGTAAACCAGCATCACGTTCTTTCCGCAATTTGCCATTAAGTCATTTTAAATCTTTTTATGGGAAGCTGAGAACTGCCACGAGAACACCGTACCCGTGTGCCTTTGCAAACGCTCTGGAGGGTTTAAGCGTGGAAAACACTAAGCTTAAGGGATTACTTTAATTTAAGAACATTAAGGATATTACTTAAACTTCAGCTCCTCCACGCCCCCCAGGACAGCGTCCCCAAGGAACCCCCGAGAACACCCCCGGGCCTCACGCTTACCTCAGAACGGGCGCTCTGGGGGTGCCCGAGGGGGCAACGCAGGGCGGAGAGGAGGCTCAGGCACCCTGAGGGGAGCCCGCCCCTGGGCGGGAAGGCACCCAGAGGAGACAGCGACACACCAGCGCCACTCACAGACACTTGTGCGTGTACACATATATATATATATGTACACATATATATATATATACACACACACTTAAAGATATGGCTCTAGAGCCCCACAAAACACGCAAACCAACCGCCCCACCTCACTCAGGCGCCATCGCCCTTTTATAGTTGGCGCCTAAACGCCTCTGCCGGAACTAACTGCAGAGCCGCATCACCCTCATCCGCGCGAGGGGTGCACGCAGCGCTTCTTGATCTCCTTCCTCCAGAGAAAATACTCCCTTTTAGGGCTCCCCCGTTGCTCGCCGCCCTCCTGCAGGCCCCTGGGCGGGGAGGGCGCCGGGAAAAAGAAAGAGAAATGCCCTCAGAGCGAGGGGAAACCCAACCCGGCCTTCCTCCTCGGCCCACCGGCGTTTTTGTTACC